ACTGATGTGAGAGCTGTTCCTAGAAGACCCCTCTTCGGCCTTCTTTTAACTTCCAGATCTAATGCTCGACTTCATTTTTGCTCGTTCTTGTTCCTCTTTTAGCTGGCTCGATAGTGAATCCCAATTTATTATATTGCTTGTCTTACACATATCTTCCAACGTTTTACCATTAAATCTATCGTTCGTTTACCATCTATTTTTTTTCTTTTCTAGATGAGTTTTTATTTTAAATATCTCTCGATCTATATATACATTGCTTAGATGCTCTGAATATAATCCGGGGATGGGGTATACATTTTGTACAAATCTGCATTTGATGGCTTCAAAAATACTAAAAATAGGATGCAAAACATAAATTTTCTCCACATACTATTTCCACTACGTGCTCTATTTGTCTTTCGTGAGATGGGCTCTCGTACTATTGTTATTAACTTGTGTGTAGGACGAGTAGTTACTTTTCCGTTCGTCTTTTGAAGTGTTGCCAAACCTTCAGCTCCGGGATATATTTTGATTATCTTCGCTAGTGGCCATTTCCCCGGCGAGGTGTCATCCTCCTTTATTATCACCACTTCTTCTTTTTCTAGGTTTGTAACGGGTTTTTGCCACTTATATCGCTGTTGTAAATTTGACAAGTAGTTATGTCTCCAGCTGTTCCAATCTCTTTTTTTTTTTCTAACTGCTCCCAACTTTATGACATATTCGTGTATGCGCTCAACTCTTCCTCGCTATTTGGCGAAATTAGTTCTCTCCCAAGTGTCAAAATATTTCTACTTGCAGTTAAAGGTTTGGAGATTATAAAACTTTTTATAGAATTGCAATACAGTATAAGTAAAAGAAGTAAACAAAAAGGACCCACTAGAAGAAATTAGAAACCAACTTAAGGCTAAAATAAAAAATGTCAACTCAGAGCTACAGCAAGTAATAAGCAAATTAGAAATAAAGAAGGCATTGAAAGAAATGAAAAACAACAATTCGCTTGGAAAAGATGAACTAACTGAAGATGTGCTGAAAAGTGGTAAGTAATACTCTACATCCCCTTTGTAACAAGATATTAAAAGAAAAAAGAATCCCAAACAACTGGAAGGAATCCGTAACCATTATCCTACCCAAGAAAGGGGACAAAGCAGATATAAAAAACTACCGTCCTATAATACTCCTCAATGTAATGTATAAACTCCTAACAAAAAGTTTAACCAATAGATTGACGACAAAATTTGACGGATACTAGTTGAAAGAACAAGCTAGTTTTAAAAGAGGATTCAGCACAAGTGACCATTTACTAAGTATGAAAATACTTATAGAACAAGCAAATGAATACCACATTTCTCCATATGTATATAGCGTTCATAGATTTCGAAAAGCTTTCGGCAGTGTCGAACATTGGGCAGTTAAAAGTTCTTTGATTAACAGCAGAATAGACCACAGATATACGGAACTAATAGCCAATATATATATATATATATATATATATATATATATATATATATATATATATATATATATATATAAATATATATATATAGGAACTGTACTAAGGAAGCCAAAACAACAATTAAAGTATATGAAGGAACAACATCAATACAAATAAATAGAGGCGTGAGGCTGGGTGACACAATATCACCGAAACTTTTCAATCAGGCTCTGGACGATATTTTTAAAAGATTAGAATGAAGATAAAAAGGTATAAAAATTTGTGACAACGCTTGAACCATCTAAGGTACGCTGATGACATCGTATTGATAACTGATAAAAAAGAAGAATTGTTTGATGAATGAATTGAATGATGTTAGAACTGGACGTAGAAGCTGGAAAGATAGGCCTTAATATGAATTACAGCAAGACCAAAATCATAACAAATACAGATGAAGACATCACAATGAGGATCGGACAAGCTGAAATACAACAAGTTTAGGATTATTATATAGGTTAAGGATTATATATAGTTAGGGTCAAACTATAAAACTTAACAAAGAAAATCAAACAGCAATGATAAAAGATGAGTTAGACTCGCATGGGCGGCATTCGGCAAACTAAGCTACATTTTTAAAAATAAAAGATATCCACAGCATCTTAAGACCAAAGTATACAATCAATGCGTACTCCCTGTTCTCACTTATGGTTCCCAAACGTGGATATTTACAAAAGTAAACATGGACAAAATCATAAAAACCCAAAGAGTAATGGAAAGACAAATGTTGCACATAAGACTAATGGATAAAAAGGGAAACGAGTGAATATGAGAGAAGACAAAAGTGAGGGATGTTAGACAAAAAGTTGCAAAATTGAAATGGAGATTTGCCACAACATATGACACAATATAAGACAAAAAGAAGACCGATGGAACAAAATTCTTATAAGTTGGAGACCGTGGGATATAAACGAAGCAGAGGAAGGCCCCAAATGAGATAAGCAGATGATATCAAGAAGCACGTGAGCTCTAGGTGGACAACTGTAGCGACAGACAGAGAAGAATGGAAAAGGTTTGGGGAGGCCTATGTTAAAAGATGGACCGAAGAAGGCTAACTAGATAGATAGACGCCGAAAGAAATTTTACTTGAAGCGATAAGGGAAATTGTTTTTTTTTTTGTTGTAAGTTATTTGTTAATAATAATTTCTGACCCACTTGGAAAAAAAATATATTTTAAAATGAAAAAATATATAAATTTGAATAAAATAGATTTGGTTAGATAGAAATTTAAAAAAATTAGTAAGTTTATGCTCTGCTTATAGGGATAAACCGCTCACCTATTTTGATTGGGAGTGTTTCCACTCCGAGCCGAGCCCATTAGTGAGGTGTCACGAGAATTGTCTGATGCAATCGCAATGCAAAATGCAAGACACATTGCGATTTGTCCCAAGCTCCTAGTTCCACGTGAAGTTGTGATAAATAATATTTTATTATTTTAAACATTTTCGCTATAGACATTGAGAAGCTGGTTAATAGTGTGCATCAACGTCCAGGACTATGAGATCAGAGGGACAAATACAAAGTGTTAAAAAATATTTGTGCTCATTTTGAAATAGCTCCAAAACAGCTCTTTACCCTCTTGTATAATTAGCGGTACAAATGGTTATGTTCTACCTATGTACTCTCCTGGTTGATATCACGCATCCGTTGACGTTTGCGTTTAATGTGTTTAATGTGTTTAATGTTTATACAAAACGCCCATTTACATTAAAGTAGCCATTTAATTTAATTGTATAATGTCAGTTTGACATTTTTATTTAGTAAGTTAGACAATAAGTATACGAAAAAACGATTTTTAAATATGAGAACTTATTCCAAAGAAGAAGAATTGATATGATTTTTGTTCTTGGTCAGTGCAATAAAAAGTGTTCATTGGCATCTAGAGTTTATGGGCAAAACTACCAAAATCAAGAGAAGCCTAATAGACGTACGGCATATTAATAAAAAAGCCACACTTAAGTCATCGGGCCATTAGAAGAGAAACTGGAGTCAGATTTTTTTTAGGTTTTGAATAGAAAGTATCCGATGAACCTTTTTTTGATTATTTTTGTTTTCCGATGAGTGCACTTTCCATATTATTGGACTTGTTATTCGACATAACCTTAATTATTACGACGAGGAAAATCCTCACGTCTATCGTACTCTCGATCATCGTCACAGGTGGTCCGTGAACGTATGGAGAGAAATAATAGACGTACACGTTATAGGTCCTTATTTTTTTATGGTAATCTTAATGGCAGAAATTGTTTTAAACTTTGCACAGGAAATTATCTGGCCTTCTTAATGATGTACCTCTAAGTATTAGGCCTAAAGTGTGGAGGCAGTTGGATGGTGTCACCGAACATTTTCGATGTACGGCAATACTTAAACTGTAGTTTTGGTAATACATGGATCAAAAGAAGTGGTCCACATAAATCCTTCAAGATCTCCAGGCTTAACCGAAAGCTGATAGCCTTTTTTTGAGGATAGGTACCTATAAAGTATAGTGGATAACATCCCATCGATTACTCCAGAAGTTATGCAAGCTAGAGATACAAGCTAGAGTTATAAGAGCTGTTTTTCAAATAACAACAAGTGAACACTTTTTAAAGACGAAAGGATCTTCTTAAAAACGCATTTAATTTTGTTTAGAATAAGATGGGGGTCACTTTGAACAATTCCTTTTTAATTCAATTCTTTATTATTAAATTTTTTGTTTTCTGCATTTTTCATTTGTCTATTTTTTTATTAAAAATTTTTTAAATAAAAAAATATCCTTATTTTGCAATTAAACATTTACTTTACGTTAAAAAGTGTTGAAGATGTGAATGGATATTTCGTTCAATAAGGTATTTAATCTACGTACATACTAAGTATTTTGATTGAGATATCACTCATTTTTGTAAGTTTCGGCTTGTTTTACCTCTTGAAAGACCTTCGACAAAAAGGCACAAATATTCAAGTTTAGTATCTTGCCTAGGCCTATCGCCAGTGTTTGCGAATACTTTGTACGTAATATAGCCTTTTATTAATGCCCAAAAACAAATTTGTGTCTGATTCTTAGATCGGTAGATATTTAGTATTTTCTAAAACCGTACATTTTTAGAAAATATTAAATTGTATAGGAAACTCGTACAAAAGGAAACATATTTTATAAAAACAATTCAAAAATGTTATTAAATATAAGGTGTTCGATGTAACGGTAGCACTACCACCAGTGGTTGTCGCCGACTTGCCATATCTCTGCATGCCTTCATTTCCACCGACATCGCAACAGAGATAGAACCGGAGAACTGATAAGAACTCCAACCCCGGGCTCTTGAGTATTGATAAAAGTCCACTGTCCTTCTCGTCGGTACCAAGTATTGATTTATCGCTTTTCGTTCCTTGTCCATATCAAGTAATTAGATTTATTCTACCAGCAATTAGATGGGGTTACCAGTACGACTTGGAAATAATTTCTATTTAATATTTTATTAATATTTATATAAAGTTGTAAAACTGTTTTACATTAACATTACATTTTGCTTAATTATACTCTTTTTTTTTTCAGAAAATCAGTTTCCGATCGATATATCTACAGTATCTCAGGACCATCCTTTATTAGAGGCAGATGTTTTACATTCCCTTTTTAGACGATTACAAATTTTGAACAGTTGCGCTCATCTACACCAACAGAAACTGGTCAATACAGATGATTCTGAAGAAGATGAGTGTTGCGCCTTATCAGATAACTGGACCTATCAAAGTGATATCAAGCGATGGTCTAGAACTAGTTACCAACCACCCCCACGTAAGTAGATTATTCACGAAGCTTTAATAAAGTAAGTTTACGTTTGATATGTATTGCATAGTATTTCATTTAGACACAGTAAGAATAGGAGTAGCTTGTTTTTATTCGTATCAAAGCATCAAACTACACTGAATGAGCAATACAATATTATACAATAATATATGAAAACATATTGGCTGGGACACTGTAGACATAAATAGATGTGTAGTGTCAATTGGACATCGCTAAACGTCTTGTCTTTACATCTGGTAGTCCCAGTCCGTAATCTGTTAAGAGATTTCTAGATTTTTCATGAGTCATTATGACCGCGAACTTCCGGTGGAGCGATTCCAGCTCCACTGAATAGATTTTATCAACAGACTCCCTGTAATAAGCCTACAAATTTCATTAAGTGCTATGTCTACTTATTTAGCAAGCTACATCTACTTGTTTGGCCAGCTGTCAGCACTAAAGGCAGTATTTGCTGCTAGCAGAAAAAGAGACTGCCAGGGCCGTTGCCAGTCTTCATTTTGGTGTTGGTACAGTGTTGTTTATAGACCAATGTTAAATTAAATATTTTAGAGGCATGCAATTTAGCAGTACTGTTCGACACTGCAAGGCCGTTGTGATAGCAACTTCAATCTATTCAAACTGGATGGCCATGGCTGTGTTATCAGCATAGATGAAGTTCGATAAAAACGTGATATCGTTCGATAGTGGTTGTTCATTGGTATAAATATTGAAAAGATTAATAGATCAGTACACTGCCTATTGAAAGACCGTTTTCTGTATTCGCCACCTACTATCATCTTGGAAGTTTAACAAAAAACCTATGATTCGCAAGAATGCTTCTAATGGCCGAGGTGAGTGTATCATCTGTCATGATGGAGTATACCTTTTGCACTCTTGATGGAGTCTTTGGTTGATTGTAGTATAGGTGAAAGTGAGGTCTACGAAAACACCACCAGTGATTTTTAAATTTTTGTCGCTATTCTCAATATACTAAGGTAAACATTAACATTTGTAAGGTCTTTTCCCCTGCAAAAACCAACTTGTTATGGGATAAGTGACTCTATTGCAGCTGAGAGGCGATGTTTAATTAGTCTTTTACAAATTTTATAGATGTGATATAGGACATATATCAGGCGAAAGCTCTTCAAAGAGGCAGGTAGCTTATTTTCATGGATTAGCTATAAATAGTTTATTTCTGGAAAACAAGGTATTGGCCTCCATATTTTGGATTAGGAAAGGAATTTTGTTCGTTAACTTGATGAACAGAGATCCATCACTAGCGAGTATTATATAGCGTTATTGATTTGTTTGAAGAAGGAAATTGCTACAAAATGAATGAAATTGATATGTATTTTGAAATTTATATTGAAATTTAAATTTCCCACTCTGTCCGCAGCACTGGTTTTTTTTAGGACCTCAAAAGAACGCTCCAAGGAAAGACATTTGGAGAAAATGGGGTGGTTATTGCGAAAACAAACAAAATTCTTCATTCAAAAAATGCACAACATTTATAGAGTAGTCTTAGAATTCGTGTATGGCCCTTGAAGGAGACTGTGTTAAAGAATAAGGTCTAATTTTGTCTAAAAGTTGTTTTTTTATTATTGAAGTCGTGAGGCTTTTTTGTATATTAATTATTATGGTTTACAAGATATATGGAATATGCAGATACTTTTCTATTTCAGAACATTCTAGTGATAACGTTCCAAAGCAAACGTCCGTAATAAATAAAGAAGCTTCAAATAGAGATGTAGTAGTTCCAAGCAAACCAACGGCAAGTCCAAAAGAATCTCCTGCTAAGAAAGCAAGCATCAAAAACCGCCAGCGTAGAGAAGGGATAGTGGTATGTGAAAAGAACAATTTGCTGGATAAAATCACCCAGTTGCAAAGCATAAAGCTCTCCGATATCCGGCATAATTCTGATTCGGAAGCTACGCCGAGAACATCGAGGCGTTCCAGGACTTTGTCTCTGGATAAGACCGATACTTGGTCTACATCTAATATTAAAATCAATCGGTAAGTGTATTCTTAGTTACTTACAAATGAGAACTGGATATATATGGGAAAAATCGCCGATAACATAATAAGGAAAAGAAAAGTTTTTTCACATTGCAATTTTTATTATTTTTTTAATGTCTAAACACTTCAAATTAAAACGTAAAATTTATGGCTACTAAACTAATTATAACGCTAAAATTCATTTACGCGCTGTCGGAAGAATAGTACTACTGCCAGTGGCGTAGCCATTAAAAATTGTTTTTATTGAATTTTCAAATATTTTATAAATCCCTTCGAGGTCTCGCCCTTTTTTGATTACTATTATATTTATAGTCTAGGCGATATCTGTTTAAAATAACCATTTTGACTGTAAAGCAAATGAACGCGGTTTTTTGAATAAATCGCTCCAAAATATAACTACAAATGATAATTTCACTATGCTTGAGTTGTAAAATGTGGACTTAACTTTTTATTAAACAGAATATTGAAAAAATTTTATTGAAAAAATACTAAAAAATACAAAAAAAAACAGTCAGAAAAAGGTTTTTTGCGAGTTTATTTCCCATACTAAAATCAAACTTAGGACCTTCATATTTCGAAAGGGAAAACTTTTTAATATGGTTACTCATCACACAAAATTTCTTTAAAATAGATTTAATAGTTTTTTCAAAATAATTTTGCAATCTGAATTTTAAAAAATAAATAATTTTTAAAATTATATACTAATTACATTATATGTAATACAATAATACAGTAGTAGTGTCTGGAGGCTCGGGAGACTGAGACCTCGGAAGCCCTGAAGAAGACATCAAAGAGGATGTCGAAAGCTCGGTGCAATAATAATCGACGTGGATGGACGCGGAAGACTGTGTGGAGTATAATAATAATTCTTGTAATAGTATTAATCTTAGCTCTAGGTTTAGTTCCTATATATATATATATATATATATATATATATATATATATATATATATATATATATATATATATAGATTGAACGAAATAAATTCGGAACAAACGAAATATTATGTATTTAGGCTCAATTCTGCTGTAGGTGGTTGACCAACAAAAGGTTGTCAAATAATTATATTATAAAAATCCAATACTTCAGCGGGCTGCTGGATTCTGAAATCATAAAAATTGAAAGCTGCACATAAATCTACGATTTTATTATGCTGTCAAACCACTAGTCCAGGAAATGAAGCATTTCACCTCGCAATTTTTTCGTCCTGCGTGGATTGACTTGAAATTTTAACAGAAGGTAGGTAATAGCCAAGGATCAAAATCTATATCGAACCAAAGTGCGCCAAAGCCTTAGGGGTGGTTGCCACCCCATCTCGGGGGTTTTTCGGGGGTACAGTTTTCGATTAAAAAAGTGATTCTAAACAAAAAATGTTCTATACATTTTTTTTGTAAAACTGATATTTTTCAAGTTATTCGCGATTGAAAGTAACAACGTTTAGACGAAAAAATCGACGTTTTTAATCGATTTTTGGTCCATTTTATCAAAAAAATTGTATAGAACAAATTTGTAGCTTTTAAAAAGACAAATAAAATTCATTTTTTAAAATGTTTTTGCGATATAACAGGAACCGAAATACGGCCTATCAATTTTCAGCGGTTTTCTTCAAATGCCAAATTTGAAAGATTCAAAGTCAAATATCGGGAAAATTATGCATTTTTGGAAGAAAACTAACAGAACGTTTTTTTAAAAATCATAAATAGACCTATCATAAAAAAAGACTCTAGCTCAAAAATTGAGTGAGTTATGATAAAAATAAGGCCAATACCTCATTTTTTTACGAAAAAATCGATGAAAACAACCCCCTAACCACCCACATAATTAAAATCGATCTTCAACCTTCTGCAATTCTCTTTGTACATATATTGTTAATACGTCCAAGAAGTTTGACCCATTTAAAATGCTTAGATTTAGAAAAAGTACAGCATAAAGCGAGAAACGAATTACAATTTCATATTTTTTACCCTTATTTTTTTAAATATCCCCGAAAATACTGAATATGTGAACAAAAAATAAAAATATACTTAATTGTAGCTTTTTTAATGACTAAAATTTTCCTTTATTTAGATTTGTTGTACAATGAATATTTGGCGAGATATAGCCGTTTAAAACATCGATTTACGATCAAGCACCATCTTTTTCGAGTCCTTTAAACTCACCCCATTTAAAAACCAAGGGTTCCAAAAAGATTTAATTCACAGATCTTTGTAGCTCTTAAAAACCTCTACAAAACCGTTTTTTAAGAAACACTCTATCGTTAAAAATTAAGGAAATACGTTAAAAAAAGCAATTAATTTTTTTCCGGAAAATTCCATTAGTATAGTACAGTACATTTCGGAGCATAATAATTTACAAAACGGGTATATTAGGTAGTGGGGCGTTATACATTCGAAATTTTAAGCGTTCTTATTTTGAAATCCCATACAACAGAATAAAACATCTACTCATATGTCTATGGCTTGGCAATGAAAATATCAGAGCAACAGATTGGGGAAGGTATTCCAAAGATGGTTTGTTATTACCCGTACGCATGAACAAACAACCTGCACCCGATGAACTTTTGTTGTTGTTGTTATAAATGTAAATAAACTATTTATGTAAATGTATAAGCATATATGGTGCCTTCTTATGTTGATAAATTTTTTTGTATTTAATTCTACTTTTTTTAATTTATATCTATTAAATTAGTTTATAAAAACTCATATATAGCACTCATAACAATTGAGTTTTAAGGGTTGAAAATGTATGAAATTGTATTTTAAAGTATAAAAAAATCACTATTTAACTAATCCAAACCAAATTTTTTTCATCTTAAGATTTGTAATATTATTTTACAATTTTTGAAAATTAGGGGTAGTTTTCACCCCTAAGAACAATCAGGGTTCATCGGCATGACATAAACTATAAAGCAGTGGGTGAGTTGAGCTTAATCCCAAATTTTTATCCAAATCGTTTCAAGGCGAAATCATTTTCTTCGCATTACTTTTTTTTACATTAATCTCTAACAAGGGTCGCTTTTTAAGGGTTGAAATATGATGGAACTTTATTCAAAAGCACGAAACTATCATTATTTAATTAATTCAAACCAAATTTTACCCATATTCAGGTTTAATATGTTATTTTATAATTTTTGACAACTAGGGGTAGTTTTCACCCCTAAGAACAATTAGGGTTCGTCTACATGACATAAACTATAAAGCAGTGGGTGAATTGAGCTTAAATCCAAATTTTTATCCAAATCCATCCAAAGCGAAATCATTTTTTAGAATTAGTAATTTTTTTACATTAATCTCTAACAAGGGTTGCTTTGTAAGGGTTGAAATATGATGGAACTCTATTCAAAAGTATAAAATAATCATTATTTAACTAATTCAAACCAAATCTTAGCCATATTCAGGTTTAATATGTTATTTTATAATTTTTGACAATTAGGGGTAGTTTTCACCCCTAAAACCCTTCAGCGCATTTCGGTTCGATATAGATTTTGATCCTTGGGCTATCACCTACCTTCTGTTAAAATTTCAACTCAATTCATGCATTACGAAAAAATTGCAAAGTTTTAACTTTTTTCGAGCTTCATTTCCTGAATTATGATCGCTTCCTTTACGCAAACAACATTGTAACATTGTTGCGAGACAGATAGTTGAACGATATTTTATACAATATTTATACCCAGGTATGGATTTAATTTTGTCCAAGTTTTATATTGGTCCACTATTTCAAATGCAGTTCAAACGGACATATATTAAATTGTATGATCCGTTTTAAATTCGTTTAATCTGTATATATATATATATATATATATATATATATATATATATATATATATATATATATATATATATATATATATATATATATATATATATATATATATACTCGGATGCAAAAAAACGCAACCGAGAAAAGTTTGCTCAAATTCAAAGTATTTCAATTTTTTTTATTTTAGCCCTATTTGGATGAGTTTTTTAATAAAATTTTGTATTTAACTTATTATACGAGGTTAATCGAAAGGTGGTTTTTTATCCTAACTTTGAAAGATCCTGTCGAATAATTCCGCTAGCGGATTTTCGTAAAACATTGTTTTTCGGTTACAACCATGTCTTCTAAGTATTTTGTTTTTTGTTTCATGTGAAAATATGGATTGGTTTATTTTTAGGAGCGAAATGACTTGAAATGAGCGAAATGAGCCACCCACAATTTACGACTTTTTCTGTTATTACCATTATCTTTTGTATTAATTTGTAATACGACGATGGGTGCTTTGGTGACTGATATCGAAGAAATGTCATATCGACATCCCAGAAGCACTGTCTTTAAATAATGATTAAAAGCAACGACATGATCTTGGTTTTAATGAACAATGATAATAACAACAAAAAATAAAAAACAATTTAAATGTAACTTAACCTAAGTACGCAAATAACAAAGAAAAACTACTAAAAATACCCCCTGGTCTCTATAACTTCCTGTACACATCGGCTCATGCTGTCTATGAGGTTGCGAATATCATCTTTTTGGATGTTCTGCTATTCCTCTTCTAGAGCCAAGCGAAGTTCGTTAATTGATGCTGGTGCGACTTCGCGACCTCTAATATTTCTACCAGGCATGTCCCAAACGTGCTCAATTTTTTTCAGATCTGGCGAACACGCTGACCAGTTCATTTTATTAATACCAACGTCCTCTAAATATTGTGTAACAAACATTGCAGAGTGGGGTCGCGCAATATCTTGCATTTATTGAAAATCATCGCCGATATATTGAGAAAAGGGTACTATGTGATTCGCAAAAATTTCCTCAATATACCGGAGTGCAGTCAACGAACCATCAATAAATAGCAATTCAGTGTGCGCCTCTTGGGATATTCTTGCCAATACCATCACCGAATCCCCTCCATGGCTAACGCGGGGACTGAAAGCGCACTCCGCAACTCTCTCTCCCGTTCGACGCCATACTCGTTCTCTCCCATGTGATGAATGAGGACAGTATCTCGACTCATCCGTAAAAAGAACATTACTCCATTGTCCTAAATTCCAATGTAGAAGTTCCCTAGAAAATTGTAGTCTAGCTACTCTGTGCCGTGGAAGTAATTTGGGCCCAGTTGCTGGTCTGCAACTTTGCAAACCAAATTCATGTAATCTTCGACGGACTGTAAATACACTTACATTATTGCCTCGAACCTCTTGAAACTGATTTCTTGTTTGCACCGCTGTTAAATGACGATTCTGCAAAGCGTTGACTCGTATAAAACGATCATCTAAAGCGGTAGTTTTGCGCCTCCTGACACTTCCCGCTTTACGCTTGTTTGCTCCAGTTCGTATAAAACGTGGAGTACTCTAGCAACATATTCATAATTTCGCCCATCTGCAAACAAAGGAACGGCTTTCGCACAATCTTCGACACTAAGAACCATGATCAATCATAGGTAAACAAAATGTAAGTGTCAATATGACATAATGATAACAGTCACCAAAGCAATCCGTCGTATTACAAAATAACTCCAAAATAATCATAATTTAAAAAGTCCTAAATTGTGGGTGGCAAATTCATTTGGCTCAAAAAAATGAACCAAGGCATATTTTGACATGAAACAAAAACCACAATGCTTAGGAGACATGGTTATATATTGCAAAATAACTTTGTTTAAGAATATTATGGCACGAAGGACCTGACCATGAACTGGATGTACCTGAAAAAGACGTCGAATTTGAAGTCGATGGACCTTACATATTCCAATTATGTGCTTCTCAACTGCAAGTCTTAAGAAAGTTAGCTTTATTGAAGTTGACATCTCATATGGAAAAATATTGTCCTGCTCACCGAACAGGATGGAACTGGGATCTACCCAAGTTTCTCAAAAAGAATAAATACCCGATGTATAAAGGTAAGTGTTAAAATATTGGTACAATATAAGAAAAATACTTTATTTAAGTACTAGATTCATATTATATAATATTCTATTAGTAGATATAGGCAAAGGAGATTTCTTCAATAATTGTCTGGCATATATCAAATTACTAGAGTTTATTGAAATGAATAAACATAAACCATATTTAGGAACAATTGGAAATAAAACTTTAAAAATATTTATCTAATAATCATTTTCAAATTTTAATTTGATGTGGGATTTTAATAAATTAAAATAGGATTAATTTTAAAATAGGCAGTCAAGTAATACCCGGAGTTTTCAAAAACATAACGAGAATGTTAAAAACGAAAATGGAGAACTGATGATCAACTTCTGCACGAATAAGGAACTTAGAATAAACAAGACATTTTTGGACCATAAATAGGGACGTTTGGACCACAAACACAAATTTCTCATATTTATAAAGGAACTAGGAGGAAGAAGTTATTTAAAATAATTTGTCCAATTACTCTAAGATCATGCTCTTCAAATACGAAACACTAACTTGCATCCTTTTACGTCTTGCTTCCGTAGATCATTTTCTACTTGATCCAATCACCTAATTCTTAGTTTACCTCGTAAACACCTCCATTCTGGTATTTGCTGATATTTATTTTTTATACATCTGTCGTCTTTACAATTTACGCGTCATTTAAAGTCCATAAACATTTTAGATTAAATTTGTAAATTAATAAATTTCGAAGGAATAATTGTTTTCCTTTTCGTTTACAAAAATACGGTATAAGATTTATAAACTAGGAGCTGATTTGTTAAAAAAAATTGTGCTACGAATTTGAAATAAAAATTTTTAACACCGCATAATAAAAAAATGGTCCCCCCTTGTTAAAAAGGTTATTTAAGTTCAAAACGCCTTTGAATTAAACAACTTACTGACGATAGATTGGTTTTGTTCCAGTTAAAATACACACGGACCACTAATCAACCCAAATTGCAGGACCGGATGCGGTATATACTGATTTTGTTTTGTGTTTTCCTACAAGTTCGTAGTATGAATAAATTAATGCAAATAATACAGTGTGTAGGAAAAATGCTGCAAACGATTATGAGTCACTCACATTCATTATAATTTTTATAACAAGAGTGCGAAATAAAGATAATCGTGAAAGTTCATCTGTAGGATGCAGACACATGGCTAATTGCATTGTTTACTTGTATACAAGGTGATTCGAAAGTTTTGTGTACATATTATAGATTTGTACAGATAATATTCCTCGAAATGGATTGATCAACAAACGACAAGATACGCTACGAAAAGGGTCACGAATTTTCAAATATTTCACGTAAAATATTTTAACAAAAATTTAAATAAAATAATTCATGAAATGAAGAGATTTAATCTGAACATTACAATGATCTCTGGAACAAAACGAAATTGCCAAGCATCAGAAAACATTGGAGAATATAATCATTCTTTTAAGTATATATTACGAAAGGACAAGGGTTCGAGAGGGAGTGTAGCTGAACTGATGCAGAAGAAATTGAGAAATATATTATATATAACTGCTTGGGAGGCCATCAATGAGAAACTGATAAGAATGAATATATCAGAAAACCACAATTAAAAATTTTAGTATATGAAGTGAATGATGATTGCACGTTAACGCTAAAAACTGTAAAAGCTTAAAAAAATTCATTGATAAACTGTATTTAGACATTTTGAAAGTCAACTCGACAATTTAAAATCTTGGCGACTTAAATAGTAGAACTAGAAAAAGACACCACAACGCATTCATAAGTCGATTTGAGGAAAACTCTGTAAGTGATAAAGGTAATAGATCAATAAATGTATATGAACAAAATAAAAGAAAAATTGCAAATGGGTTCTTTCAACATCAGGATGTACGAAAATGGTAAACCCAAAAATTGACTACTGAGTTAAAATGGAACTGAGCGGGTCACGTAGGTAGAATGAAAGACAACCGTTGGACAAGGTGGATTGTCTAATGGCGACTAGAAAATACTAAAGAATCACAGGCAAACCTTAAACCAAATGAACTGATAACATAAATAATTTCCGGCATCTTAAGTTAGTTGGCTGGTGACTACTGTCAGACCCACACATGGGTTGCGTTTGTAGTAAGGACCGATATGTTCACTTTCAAATAAATCCAATCCATTGACATCGACATTGTGTCGCAAGAATTTTAATATGTTCAATCTTTAAAATATAAATTTAACGATTCTACTGATTTATGAAGGGCTATTGCAAGTACTTAAATTTTCACTTATGTTAGTTTGACCGAAAACGTTTTGAACAATTTAAATCCGTTTGGATGTTTCAATTTTTTATGTTTTTTAACAAATATACCAATTACTTTGAAAAAGTAATTAGTATATTTGTAAAAAGTAAAAGTTTTTTTAACTATGGTATATAGCAGGGTTGTCCAACTAACGGCCCGCGGGCCGCATCCGGCCCACGAGGCTATTTGTTGTGACCCACGTAAGATTTTCGAAAAGCATATATTTTCTTTAAATGCTGTCACTGTTGAAAAAAGATGTTTTAATTTATTTTATATTTTATGGTTTGGCATTGTTTTTACATCACAAGTACTGTACCGTGTGCCGCTTCGCGGACGTGTAACGAACACAATCATCCTCTACCACAATGAGAACTGCACTGGTTACTGCGCATCACAGTTCACGCAGGCCACACCTCCCACTGCTTACCATCCGTCGCCAGCCGCCATCGTGCCAGTGTGCTACTGACACGTAAGCTAGTCGGCTAATCTATTACGTTGCTAGTGAACAGTGAACTTCATCAATTCTTGGCTTGGTTCCTCTTATACAATAATGAGTGTAAAACCAGTAAAACGGAAAATTGATAGTGACAACAGAATTTGCAAAGAAAGTTGGGAGAGTGATTGCTAACAATACTGGAAAGTTGCAGTACTTAGTGTGCATGAATTTCGTTTCAGTGCCTAAAGAATATAATGTGAGAAGACATTACACAACAGTGCATGAAAATAAGTATGCTACGTACACAAATGAAAGTCGACGTGCCCTAGTTGCAGATTTGAAGGAAAAGCTTAAACAGCAAACTGGTATGTTCAGTAAAATATTACACTCTCAAACGCATTCTTTGCATGCATCTTATGCCGTGTCGCTTGAGCTGGCAAAGCCAAAAAAACCTTCCACTGATGGCAATTTGATAAAAAAAAATGTGCTGTTGAAATGGCCAAAGCTTTATCATTGCCACTTTCACATCAAACGATACAAAGAAGGATTGTTGCTATGGATGAGCAAGTAGAAAAATCTATGCTTAGCCAGGTTAAGAAAAATTCATATTTCTCACCTTGTTTGGATGAAAGCACTGATCAAACCGATGTTAGTCAGCTGTTAATATTTGTGCGCACTACTTTTGATGATTTTATCAGTAAAGAGGAGTTATTTGATATTTGTCCTCTTTATGGAACAACAAAAGGAAAAGACGTCTATGAGGCTGTGAAGAAAACAGTTGACAGAATTGGAGGCTTTGATAAATGTTCAGCCATAGCAACAGACGGGGCCCCATCAATGACAGGTAAAAAAATTGGATTAGTGGGCCTGCTTCGAGAGAATGGTGTCACTTGCCCAATAATTCATTGTATTATATATCAGGGAGTTTTATGTAGAAAATCAGTCAAGGAAGATCAAGTTTTCCAAACCGTGATTAAGATTATAAATATGATTAGAGGTGGAAATCGATATCTTTTACACAGGCAACTTAAGCAGTTTTTAGTGGAAACAGAGGCTGAGTATGGAGACTTGCTAATGTACAACCATGTAAGGTGGCTGAGTGCAGGAAAGTGCATGGAACGATTTTTTGCCATAAGAACGGAAATCCCTGCATTCCTCAACAAATACGTTTCATCTGACACAACTGAACTGGAAGAGAAGTTTAAGGATCCAGAATTCTTAAGACAGTTAGCTTTTATAACAGATCTGACTAATCATCTTAACATGTTAAACTTGAGTCTTAAAGGAAGAAACCAGACGGTTGCAGATTTGATCGGAATGATAAACGGATTCCGGAATAAGCTGAACGTGTTTAAACGTGCTTTGGAAAAGAGCAACCTGACACATTTCCCTAGCTGTCTGCAAATAGCAGAAGAATTCAACGGTGAGGAAAATATTGAGTTTTCATCCTGCATTTCACAAATTGAACAAGTTATTGATAAATTCAATACAAGATTTGAAGAAATTGAAAGTCTCAAAAGCATTGTACTACTTTATAATAACTCTCTTGGAGCAACCATTGATGATCAACCACCTAACTTACAGCTTGAGTTATGTGATCTTCAAGCAGAAATGTTCCTGGTATATAGACCACTGCAAACTATCCCACTTTAAGAAAAAATTTCACTTATATGGGATGACTACTTTTTTCGATATCTACCATAGTACATCCAAGTTACATAAATGTTCTTTTACTAAGTTTTTTTTTTAATTTTTAGATAAAAACATTTTTGGAGTACCATTGGCTATAATCTTTCAAAGATCTGGAAAATTTTTACCTTCTGAAATAGAAGAAGCCATGCTCTGGCTTCAAGAAAACGCCTCGGATCAGGTAGGGATATTTAGGAAATCGGGTGTTAAATCCAGGATCCAAATGTTACGGAACAAAATAGAAACAAATTCATTAATTAACTACAGTGACCAACAGTGTTACGATGTAGCCGACATGTTGAAGCTGTACTTTCGAGAGTTACCTGAAATCCTTCTGACTGGTAAATTATCCGAAACCTTCGTTTTAATATTTCAGTGTAAGTAAAAGTTTTATATTACAATATATATATATATATATATATATATATATATATATATATATATATATTACACCTAAAAAGTATGTGCAAGTTTCCTCTTTATTGTGTTATCAAGTTGAAATATCAAAACTTTTTCTTTTCCTTTGTTACGTTTTTTAGAAAATACTTGTTTACCGAACCGCTTTTTTTTTCTAATACTTTCATAAGAGCAAAATTATTACTACCTACTTTAAACGTTATATGTACTTAAAACATTAAAATTTGTTAAAACAAGAATCAGTTGATACAGCCCTTTGAAGGTACAAAATAAAAATTTTTTTTGCAGTATCTCCTAAACTACTTGACATTTTGTAATAAAAATGGACACATTACGTTCTTGTTCTAAAAGCATTTTTCATTAAAAAAGAAACAACAAAATCTGAGCGCACAGAATAATTTTAAGGGGATGTGCAGCCATAAATCCCCCCAAACTGTTGAATGCGTTCAAATCAAATGAATTTTGTGGTATAATTAAACAGTTTTGATTGAGTTACGGCCCTTTTCATTAACCTTTAAAAAATTACGTGCAACTAAATAAATGGCTTAAATTAACAAGTAAAAAAATGTCTATAATCTCTATAAATATGATATTACAATAAATGTTCAAAATTTTTTTCAATACACATTCGGTATCGTTTTAATAAGGAAACCGAAAGCGCTGAAAAATCATATTTTTCTGACGAAATTGATTCGCAGCTTCAATTATTCTAAGCCTCAATTGTTGTTCGTCCTCTATTGTTACAGAATACACTTTTTCTTTCATAAACCCCAAGAGCAAAAGTCCATGGGGTTAAGACCTGTACTTCTGGGTGGCCAAGAAATAAGTGCGCCACGACCCCTTCCAATGCACCGACCAGGATACTGCCTGCAAAGGTATTCACGGACTTCATTACTGTAATGCGGTGGTGCGCCGCATTACAGTACATGCCGGAAGAACTACAAATAATTATAACCATTTAAATTGTTGTGAAGAAATACTGGGCCTATTAGATTGTTATCCACAATTCTGTCAAAACATTAACTTTGAAAGTCCGTTGGTGATGAGTCCTTTTTTTTGGCGTGAGGATTTTTGTCGACCCAAATGTGCTCGTTATGCTGGTTTGTTATTCCATTTCTACTGAAAGTAGTCTCGTCGGTAAACAAAATATTTCTAATAAAATTAATATTTCGAGTGTTTTCCATTAACAACCAATCGCAAAATCCAATCCTTTTAGGATAATCTTCAACCAATAACTCTTGAACCTTTGTTAAGTGATAGGGTTTAAGCAGCTGATCTTTGAAACTCCTCCAAATCCTTACGTGAGGAACATTTAGTTGAGCAGTTATTACCCTTTTACTTGTTCCAGGGACTTCTTCAATGATTTCTAAAATGTCTATCAGTTGCATCCATTATTGGACGACCACTATTGCCAGCAACTTGCGGTTGGAATGTATTCGTTTCCCTTAAACCACGATCAATGGTCAGAAATAATCATCTATCGGGTGTATTTCGATTGAGGTATTTTATTGCATAACACCTTGCGGCTGCTGCACTATTTCCTTGACATTCACCTACGATATTCCTGATAGTTTATTAAAATCATAATTTAATCTGATTCAACTTACCCAAAGTTAAATGCATATCTGCCATTTCCTGAAATGTGTAGGCCATTGTACTCGTAATATCAAAATTTTTAATATTAATCTTATTCACACAATAAATGATAGCTTCAAATTATTGACTATTATTGATGGAACTGTTTGTGATTATTGTAACCGTAGAAACTAATTATAATTTTATGGCCAACTAGGAAAAAACTAGTTTTTTGAAAAAGTGATAAGAGGCAAAAAAGTTTTAAAAATAATTTGTTAAACTAATGATGCCACAAAATTTATTTGATTTGAACGTACTCAAAAGTTTGGGGGGATTTAGGGCTGCACACCCCCTTTAAAATTTTTCTGTGCGCTTAGATTTTGTTGTTTCTTTTGTATGAAAAATGCTTTCAGAACAAGAAAGTAACGTGTCCATTTTTATTATAAAATGTTAAGTTGTTTAGGAGATAATGCAAAAAAACAATTTTTATTTTGTAACAAAGGGCTGTAACTTTTTTTGTGTACACTTTTGCACTAAGGTAAGTTGGATTCAATCAAGTTATTTTTGTCCCCGGAATGCGTGATTTAATTTATGAAATACCTTTTTGAAACACCCTGTATATTAAATAACCGTTATTCTGGAATTTCCTTAACGGGACGGTGACCTAAACCCTATCGAATGATATGGAACACAGACAGGTATTATCGCTAGCGGGCCCTACTAGAAAAATACTTGTTAGAAAAACATATTTACAGTTTAGGTTATGAGTCACATATATATCGTAACATTCTCCCTCTCTTAAAAGATGGTTCCTCCTGGAACCTTGTCGGGACTGGAACTGGAACGGTATGCTGATATCGGCAACTGGGCCCTCTTTTACAACTTCCAGTTGTATAAAAATGACAAGGGGCGGTTTACAAAATTCGAAAATTTTATTTAAAAAATTCTTTATAAAAGGTATAATAATATAAAAGAACCCTTTCGGGTTACATCACAGAACGTTTTGGTAATAACAAGTCCATCATCAGTGCTTTTACTAGGTATACATGTGTGAAGCCACTAAATATACGGGTCAAAACCTTTTTAATGTAGTTAAATTAATTTGAAGTTAGATTGTTACTGATAATATTCTAAGATGTTTAAGTTTTAAACCGAATTTACTTCATGACAACGTAGAACGTGTTGGTAGCAACAGATCCTCATAGACACTTCGTAGACACTCACCACATTAATAATACAACATTTAACTAACATACATATATACATTATTTATTACGATATATTACATATTCCAATATTTTTTAGATATCCCACCATTCTTGCGCATGGAATCGGTTATATGTGCGCTTCTTTTGTTACCCGAAGAACACTCCCAAGTATTACAGGCTTTGTTAAACTTCTTGTTGACTATAGCCAGCAAATCAGAGCTAAACCAAATGAATGAATACAATTTGGCGATGTGCTGGGCGCCTACACTGTTCCATTTTTCGTCGTTTGCCAAACAATACCAACACTTTGCAGGGGCACCTCATCCAAAAGAACTAGCAGAAAACAGGGCCGCACAGGAATGTTTAATGTTCTTTTTTAAACATTTGCAGAACTTATTTAAGGTAATGCCATGTTTTCAGTTCAATTCTTGAGAAGTATAAAGTGCTATTAAGGCAACAAATACCTTTCGAGATTATAACTGACGACATGATAATAAAGAAATTCTATTCATTGCATTTTTAGATTCCCCATGATTTTATTAACCAGTGCAACTCGAGTGAGATGAAAGAGATAAAACCGAAATTACTTACTGACATAGGAGACGATATAGGAGGCTGGAGAGAATATTTAAGAGAATGCCAGAGTAACTTACTAAAAGAAACAAAAGAAAAATCCCGCGGTTGGATCCAAATACCCACCATTTGCCAAAGTTCAAAAATGTATATTTTCTACAAAAAAGTGGCAGATGGGTTACCGTTGAGATTGTGGAAAATTTCAGCAGAAATAGAAGCACCTCCTTCAGAAGTTACGTTTAGAATCCTTAGAGAACGTCACATTTGGGATCCCGATCTGATCTCAGCGAAAATAATAGCTCAGTTAGACAACCACACCGAAATATTTCAGTATATAAGGAAGAGCGTTGTACCCATACCGAACGAAGAATACTGTGTAATACGAACATGGAGGTCAGATCTGCCCAAAGACGCTTGTAGTATAGTAGAAACTTCCGTCGAATATCCCGGAACAGTGCAAATACCAAATACATTTCGTGGCATTGTATTGGCTTCTAGGTACCTTATTGAACCGGCTGGATCTGGAAAATCTAGAGTTATTCACTTTTCCCGAGTAGACACCATGTAAGTACTAAAGCTTTTCTCTTTGAAGTTAAATTTTTATAAAATAATATATTAACATTCATTTTGCATATATTTTTTAGAATGTTCCGCTGTAAAAGATATTACTTCTATTGTGATTCATTTGTTATTTTTTGATTGAACCGAATTTTTAATTTATTTCTTACTTGGTTTTGATTCTATTTTGGGGTGGCAATTCTATGTAATCTACTATATTTAATCGGAAATAACCACAATTTTTATTGAAAATACGTTTATTTTAACGTTTTTGATTTCTACTACAGAAGTCAGAAAGACAACGGTTTCCAAAGTGGAAATCAAAACGTTAAAATATTTTTAATAAAAATTGTGAGTAATTCTCATTAAATATGGCAGACTATCTTTCATCTTATCTAAAGATGGTTTATTTATTTGTTAGATGATTTTTAGTATACGTTTTTACTGCCTTTATACAGGCTTGTATATTTATCAGTTAAGCAGTAAAACCTGCTCAAAACTTATTAAACTGATCCTAACGAAATTTAGCACAAGTTTTAGTCGTATTATAAGTTTAAGACGACTGTAGGTTATGTTTAAGGGTCAAAATAATTTAACCCATAAGTACTGACGCGTAGTCTACCTGTAAGTACCAGAGCTGTTTTTAAAACTGTAATATCTACCGTAATTAATAAAAGAGTTAGTTTTCCGTCAGTATACTCTCAAATAGAGAGTGACGGTGATGAAATAGACATTTTTCGGTGTATTGTGAGTAAAGATCGGTTTGCGGTCCTGTTAGTATGTCTTCATTTTGGTAATGGCAACGACTGAAAACAGCGTCAGCAAGCTGATCCAACTGCTCCAATATCAAAAATATTTAACAAGTTTGTATTATATTGTCAAAACGTATATTCAGTTGGTTTGACTATAGGTGTCGATAAGATACTAGTTCGTTTTCGGGGCATATGTAAATTTAAAATTTTCATGCCGAACAAACCCGACACATATGGTCTCAAACTGAAGTGTCTCACAGATGCCAGGAACGGGTATTTGTATATATATATATATATATATATATATATATATATATATATATATATATATATATATATATATGTATATATATGTATATATATATATATATATATATATATATATATATATATATATATATATATATATATATATATGTATTTTATGACTTTCCCGTCCATTGTTCAAAACCAACCCAAATGTCCATACAGATAATTGGTCTTTATCGACTAATCTTAAATATATGCAACTCTTAAGCAACAATGATTTGACTTACATGGAAATCATGAAAAAAAATAAAAAGGAAATTGTTCCTTCTTTTCTACAGAATAGAAAAGGGGAGATAGGAAGCACCCTATATGATTTTATTGAACAGATGACATTCCTGTCATATACAGGAAAAGCCATAATTATTATATCCCCAATGCACCATTGTAAAGACACTGATTAGCAAACGAACAAGTCAGAAATTGTATCGTTCTAAAATACGACCAAAGGAGGAGTCGACTGACTATGTGCAAAAAGTACATGCAGGCGTCGTACCTAAAGATGGACCATGGGAATATTTTTCAGAATTCCATATATATATATATATATATATATATATATTATATATATATATATATATATCTTGCAGCAATGTATAAATAGTTCATCGGGCATACAAAGACAACCCTACAATATCGGAAAAATCTAATTTTCTAAATTACTTAATCAGTAGACCCATTTGTACGTTTTGGTGTTGGGCCGTTTATAATACAATTCATTAAATTACAATATTTTACAATCCTCTGAGGTATCCTAGCTCTTAACGAACTTTCTCCATTCCTTCCTATTGGATGCCATCTGTTTTGCTTCCTACCAAGTCTTACCCTTACTCTGCAGTATCTGCGAAATGTCACTGTTCCATTCTTTAATGGGTCTTCTTCTTCTGTTCTTCCATATTGGTTTGGCATCCCACACTCTTTTTACTTGTCTATTATTGTCTACCCGGGTTAGATGTCCAAACCATGCTAATTTTTTCTCCTTGGTTGAGTCGAGTATCGGTTTTATTTTGAGTCTTTCTCTTATTTCTTTATTTTTGATGCTATCAGTTCTTTTTACTCCGATCGTTCATCTAAGGTATTTCATCTCTGCTGTCTGAATTCTGCTCTGATGTCTTTTGTTTAATATCAAATTTTCGGCTCCATATATTTTCTAAATTAATTAACAAAAAAGTTAGTAGAACCACAAATGCATGAACCATTAATCATATTCCAAGAGAAATAAAAAAATTTATACGTCGGGTATTAGGTATTCAAGAAACAACTGCGTCAAATGGCATCTTGGAAAAAAGAAAAATATGCTCGATTTGCCCATGTAAAAAAAGCAAAAAGAGTAAAGAAAATTATGTACTTTGATACTTGTTATCTTATGTTTAATTTACTTTTTCAAGTGTGTGTTTACTTCATATCATATTTGTTATATCCCCTAAGAAACACTAAGTCTGTATTAGTTAATAATAATGTATATTTTTTTTACTGTAAACTTTTTAAGTATTATACTTGGTTTATATTTTTTGGTTTCCAAAGTAATATTTTTTTTCAATTACTTTGTGTTGGTTTTTGATATTTATTGAAAATATGTTATTGCAAATGAATGTAATTAAGACGTCTAAAATATATTTAACTTTATTTTACAAAATAACATGCAAAAAAATTGTTTTTATGTAGAGTAGTCCCACAGACGACATGTCAGTAATTGTGTTCCAATATTTTTATATGTCAATACTTAAGGGTTAAAGGAAAACTCCATGTTTTGCACTTTTTTCCTAGATATTGCTATTTTGAAACAATAAATATTAAATTTTAAATTTCTTCCTAGTCAAATATTATATAAAATTAAGAAATGAAACTTTTACCTTCTTTTTTACAATATCTCTCGAGTTAAAGCAGAAATATGGGCGGAAAAACCAAAAATTTGCAATTTTTTTCAGATTTTGTTAAATAAAAAATAACGCACAAGTTTGCGACTGCCAATTATCATGACTATTGATACAAGGTACGACCTGATTCCAGCAAAAAACTAGACACCTATAGAAAATGTCCATTATGGTCTGCTTTTCGACAAATCTGATCCCGTCTGGACTATTTCTAATTTGATTCTTTAAGTGTTTGTATTTGAAACATACCCACATTTTTCTAAGTAAACTTATTTTAAATCTTTGTATTATATTGTCTGTATAATTATTTCTATTTTTTTAGGGGAAGAAGTCCAGAGTGGTACCACAAAAATTACGGATATCTCTGTGCAGTTTTCATAAGTAATTTACAAAACTCTTTTTACCAAAATACAAACGGTCCAGAGAGCCAAGTATGAATACCAAAGATTGTTAAATAATTTATTATTTTTACATCACATGACAAAATTTCAATTTATATTTTTATAACAAAATTTATAATAGTTCAAAGTAAACTATATACATTATATATTTTTATAGATGATAAATAAATATCTACTTATTGTTACTTAGTTTTTTTTTAATTCTGAAAGAGTAAGCAATCTGTCTGAGAAATTGTTTGATCGTGGCACTAGTAAATAACTAATAAAATAAATGCAGACTTTCATATTCAAGGGAAATGTGCGGATATACTCATATTCAGTAATATTAATAAAATATCAACAACTGACTTTAGATTAAACACAATTCAAAATAATAACCAATAAATTATGCAGAAGCTAGAAGAAATATTTTTAAAAATGGAAAGACACATAATATCGAAGACCACTGTAATCCGATAAAAGCCATCATTCAGAAAACTTCACAATAATAAAAAACTGTTAATAAACATAAACAATACTGGATAACTGACTAAAGCTTGTAACTGATAACATTGGCTAAAACAGAAAAATAATAACATCGAATAATATAAGAAAATAAATTACAACGAAAGTCGGGATTGGAAAATAAAAATGATAGAACAGTAAATGTATTGAAATAGAGGAACTTCAGAAAAAGGCATGTTATATGTACAAAAATGTAATAGAAATAGTTGGAACATACAAATTAACTACAAATAGTCTTTTATAATGAAAAATATTTTCCCAATGTGGTTTGTGAGGTAATAACAATTACTAATCTTTAATTGAAACCATAAATTAATATTTATTGTCTACAATCTAGGATATCTAGGTTACAAGTAAGTCGATAAAGAAGTATGATGTTACAAAACTGAAAGATCCCAATATTTGACTGAAGGGGAGTGAAAACCTCAATACAAAGGTGCTAAAATGCAGAAATGCAGGAATTATGGATGAAAGTCTGAGCCATACAAGAAACAGTGAGAGAAATAAAAGAAAAACACCTGAAGAAAGATACAGGAAAACGGAAATCGTGGATGACCGATAAAATATTTAAACCTGATGGATCAGAGAAAATCACCAAGAATATAAGAGAGGACTAACCATCGTCAGAAGAAAAATAAGAGAAGCCAAAGAGAAACAAAAAATGGTACTATGTCAAGAAATAGAGGAATATCAGAGTCGATATGATAACTTCAATATTCATCGAAAGGTGAAGTAAATGGCTCAAAAGTTCCGAAAACGCTACAGTGGAAAAGTAACAGATGATGAAGGCAATCTTGCCATAACCAAAGAAGATAAAAATAAAGTATGGGAAGAATACTTGGAGAAGTTTTTCCATGACCTTAGAACAATACAAGAGCCCACCATTGAAGAAAATTCAGGTCCCGAAATCCTTCCAGAAAAAAATAACGGCAGCCGACAGACAAATGAAGGATAGAAAGGCACCGGGACTTGATGAAATTCCTGCAGAACTGCTGAAGCTATTAGATGCAGAACAAATAAAAATAATAACTAAAATATTTCATGAAATATACAAGGCAGAAAAAATACCAGTAGAGTGGCTCGAATCGGAATTCGTACCATTGCCCAAAAAACCAGAAGCAAAAATTTGTGAAGACTATACTACCATAAGCCTAATGAGCCGTCTGCTAAAGCTGGTTTTAAAACTCATCCACAAAAGAATTTAGCGGAAATGTGAGGAACAAATTGTACCCAATCAGTTTGGATTTGTGAACTCCGTTGGTACGATGGAACTTTATTTACGTGCAGGTATTGTTTTAGAAATGTCGAGATATCAGCTGTAATATTTTTGCATGCCTGATTGACTACAAGAAGGCTTTCGATAGAGTCAGGCAAAAACAAATGATGAAGAGAGACCTAAAAATAATAGCTAACCTGTATTGGAATCAATCAGCGGTGCTCCGAATAGATGGAGAATATACAGATCAGGTTAAAATCTTAAGGGGAGTGAGACAGGGGTACATAATTTCACCACTGATCTTCAATGTGTACTCGGAGCACATTTTTGAAGCGGCTCTAAACGATATTGATGAAGGCATCTCAATAAATGAAGTCAAGCTCAATAACCTGCGGTATGCAGATGATACAATAGTGTTTTCCAATAACAAACAAGGGCTGCAAAACTGAATGAATAAAATAACGGAAACAAGTAGAACATATGGACTGGATATAAACACCAGCAAAACCAAGCTACTGATCATCAGCAAGAAAAACATAACTCGAGCAAATCTGTATGTGAACCAAATGAGAATTGAACGTGTCTCACAGTACAACTACTTGGGAACTATAATCAATTAGTCGTAGGACCATACCCAAGAGAATAAATGTCGCATCGGAAAGGCAAAAAGTGCATTCTTGACTATGAGCTCTGTGTTCGAGAGCCATGACCTCTCCCTAGAAACAAAAATAAGGCTCCTTAAATGTTACGTGTACTCAGTTCTTCTGTACGGAGTAGAAACGTGGATCTTGAATGCGGAAACTCTACGGAACTCTGCGGAAACTTCAGGCTTTTAAGCTATGGTTATACAGAAGGATCATGAAGATACCATGGACAGACAAAGTCACCAATGAAGTACTGGGGAGGATGAACACAACCGCGGTCAACATCGTGGAGAGCCGTAAGCTGCAGTACTTGTAGCTGCAGTACTCCAATGCATTTTGCAAGGTAAAATTGAAGGAAAAAGGGCCCCAGGACGAAGAAGAATCTCCTGGATTGCTAACCTGAGAGCATGGTATAGAAAGATCTCAATACAGCTATTCCGTAGTGCAACCAATAAAGTCATCATAGCCAAAAGGATCGCCAACGTTCGGAACGGACATGCACCCTAAGAACAAGAAGGACAACTTTCGAAATCACTGTTATTATCAGCGTTAAGCTGGATTTATAGTTTGACGGACTGTAGACACAGACGCACTGGAAAAAGATCAACATAGACTTTTGTGTACTCCTATTTATAAATAAACGTAAACGCAAGACGGGACGTAAGCGAAACGCACTGTAACGGAAGAGTTGGTCAACTTTCAACTTTTACAGTGCGTTTCTTACGTCTGGCCAATCAAAAGAAAGAATTTTGTGTTGTCAGTTGTCAACCAAAGCGTGGCCGGTCTTTCATTTTGATTTTGTAGTTGTTTACGTTTGTTGTTTATATTTTCGAATTTTGGTGATTATTTGATACAATGGACGGTAAGTTAATAATTTATAAAATAATAAAAGGATATCAGAGTATAATTTCAATATTTCAGATAAATATGAGTTGTTAATTGGTCTAATTCGGGGTCACCCACACATCTATGATAAATCCAACAAGCACTTTAAAAACCAAGAAATGAAAGTAAACAGTTGGAAGAAAATTTCCGAAGAACTTCAAATGTCCGGTATGTTTCTCTTGTGTAATTCGAAGTAAACTGCCTAATTGCAGTTTGGTACTACTAGTAAATGTGTTTTTTTTGCATTATACTTTTTCAGTGAAGGATTGCCAGAGAATTTGGATAAATTTAAGAAACAAGTATGGAAGGGAGAAGAAAGCGTTGCCTTCTGGTTCCGGAGCTCCTGTTACCCCACAATGGGAGTACTTCGATTCAATGTCATTTCTTAATACATACATTAAGCCCAGAAAGTAAGTACAGGATTACTTAAACATGTATTTTTGACCATAGATCACGAAAATGATTTGTGGCCTTAAAAAGGCTATATTTTAAACAACAGAGAAAGTAAAAAATTACCCCAACTTTTTAGTACACATACAACAACAGAAGATGCAAAAACAATGACAGCCCTAAATCAACATGCTCCACCTTTACAGTCACCGGTTTTTGACTCACCAAGCTGCTCCAGTGCATGGTAAAATTCCACAATGGTTGAAAGCACCTTAGACTGTCCGATACAGGATTATAATATGGAAATGTCTCTACATTCAATGTATGAAGAAAATAATATTATCCAGATGGAAGAGACAGAGGATGAAAGAGTGACTGTAAATTCAGAAAAGGCGCAGGTTGCTGATAAAGGTGAGGCTTAATTTTAATAATATGATTCCACTTACTTGTGCCAAGTAATTTTGTAAAAAAAATCTAATAATAATTAATAGGTTATGTAAGTAAACACTACAAAAAATATTGAGCATGGTAAATTATAAATTTAATAATTTATTAATTGAAAGGAATTTTATCAAAATGCTGACTGATTCTTAGTTAACTTTATTTACTAGAATACTTATATAGTAATTTGTGATTATAATTTATATAATTGAATTTTGTTATACGTCAAACCCAGAATGATCCTTATGGGGCATTCAAAAAACTATTTGATGTAGATTCTCTATTAGGCCTCATTCTACCGTAAGGGTTGTCTGCAAATTCAGTTTTTAAAAAGTTTTGATTTGTTAATAAAAAACAATGATCATTCTACATCGTATAATAGTTGTAATGTGTCTACTATTTTATATGAAAAGTTTTAAAAATCATGTATTATTAGGGAAAAAGATTTCGTAATCAGTAATATTGACATGATTTTTTACTAATTAAAGTTTTCGAAGTGTTTTTTAATAGTGTTATTTCATTTCATATTCCAAGGACTTTAATATCTCTCCATATTTTGGACCAGTGTGTCGGTTTGTAGATTGTTAGAGTAGGTATATCGGACAGACCCAGTATCCATATTAAGTATTTCCAACTTGTTTTTATTGCAGATGACATAAAGATTTTTGTTTTAATCAATAAATTCTAAGGAGCAGAAAACTTGCTATTATTAAGTTTAGAAGTAGGGAAGTTTTAGTAATGATAAAAACATTATTGTTTTAGGTATTACAATCACCACTGAATGTAAGAACACTGTACCTGAGGTTGTATCCCTTTGACTACACTATTCTAATGCTAATTCTACAAAAAAAAAAATTCAGAAGAAACAACCAAAAACTTCAGCAGATACTTGGTAGGAGTATATTGCTAGTGTGTTAAAAGAAATGACTCCGGAGCAGCAAAAAAATAAAAGACGCAGACTTCTTGAAGTTTTAGAAGATGATGATTAGATATTATATAGTTTTTGTAAATATTATCTTTTAATAAAAAATATTACAGAAAATGCATGTTTATTTAATTTTTATTTGTTTTGGTTAATAAAATACATAAAATTAAACTAACAAAG